TTAATTGTCCATAAGTTATTCAAGCCAACTGTACTTTTAATTTATCTAATGATTTTTTTATTCTCACTAACGAAAAAATTTCCTAGCTGCATGTTTTTTTTAGTTCTAATAAAATTAACTTGGATATATGTGTACAAAGTTTTATGATTGTTCTAAACAAATGGAAGATACGTTTTCTCCAACTTTATGAATAAGACAAAGTCAAAATGACAAAAAAACGAGTCCCACGTTAATCAAACTCTGCACACAACTCTTCATTACTCGCATTGTTCCGACCACTTTGACGAAAAGCTATAGAGTATTTTTGTTTATTTTTGCACAAAATCAAGTATCGCAAAAATAACTTCGAATGATTTCTTTTGAGCAACCAACTTTTTTCCAGCCCTGCATCGAGCTGCAATTGAAAATTCAAAACTTATTCAAATTTCCAGAAAAAAAAACAATTTTGAAAGCAATTGAACAATTATAAGCAAAACCAAAACTTGGAAAACCAATAAATTCTTCGTCTTCGGAAAAGGGTGGTCAGCCAAACAAGATAATGAGTGCCAAGTGAAAAGGTTTCACAGCTACCTCATAGGATTATGAATTTCGTGTCACAAAACTCAGCTTCAGTGTCAAAAAAACTGCCTATCTTTCTGACAAACGACTTAAACTATTACTTATTTTGAAATCGGTCATAAGAAAAGAAAAAGGCAATGAATAACAATAAACATTCGAGAGAAACAAACAAGAATTCTAACCTTCCTTCAAGGTAAAGACAAAAATCGATGTAAAATGAGAAGTCAACAGATCTGCACGTTTGTGTCTGTAAGTTTTGGTTATAGGCGGGACAGAAGCTAAATATAAAACAAGCAAATCGGGTCCAAAATGATGAACTAAAAAGACCTATTGGAATCTGGAGTAAAATAAATATCAAAATTGAATATTTTGTTTTTTTCCTAAGCCAGACGAACTTTGCACATGCTTTCAGCGGTCAAAATTCTTAACAAAAATTGGAAAGGGTTCCTATTGTAATATTTTATTGTGGGTGAAGAAAGGTAGAGTTAAGTTTTTGGTTTAATGCTGGAATTAACAATCTGTTTTCAACAATTGTGATTCAAAAGAACAGGCACTTCAAAAATGGGACAATTTATAGAGGCAATTTATTTATTCGTTTTTATTTGATTCCTTCTTATAATAATGTTATGTTTTAAGTTTACTCTTCGAAAGCAGTTTTCTGCACCGTGAAATTGTAACCAACATGTCATAATCAATGAAAAAAATTGTTATAACAATAATAGCTGAGCTCTTGGTTAGTTTTGGTAGAGCTTTAACCATAGTTGTTATTGCTATAACCGTGTTTTGGCAACTTCGGTTTTGAACAAATCTCTAATGAAATTAGTCAACTATGACGCCCTTTCTCTTACACGTGATAAAGATGAGTTGTTGCTCCGACATTCGTAACGAAAGTAACGGAATATTTGTGCTCCGTTTAGGTGTGGTTTTTTCTTCAGACAAATTTCGAATTTTTAACTGGCTAGTTTTGACAAAAATTTTAAGTCAATCAAAAAGTATTGTTGTTATGAGCCTAAATTGAAAAATATATATTTATATTTACATATAAATATGTATATTTCCGTATTGATGACTTGCGCTGCAACGTCTAACTGCTCTAGAAGATATGGCATTGAAGAAGATTTTTGTAGATCTCAGCGTTCATGAGCTTTGCATCCATGGCTAGTTTGATAGTTCCGTCCTTCTGTTTGGTAAATCTTGTTACAACTACGGGAGCTACAAACTGGTCGCTAGTGCACTTGTTAACTTTTACAAAATGACCTTCATTGATAAGTTTCTCGATTTTTGATAACCAATTTTTCGTGGATGAGAATGGGTCCGCTTTGAACTTTTTTTTGGATCGGAACTAGTGGGACTTCGATCGAATATCGAATGCCATCTATGGTTATTCAATCTTCTAGTATGATAAAGATAGCCCTGAGCTCACCGTGTTGCAGCTTCTTCAAAACTCGGAACCTCTTATGTGCTCGGAATTTGTAGCGTGCTCTTTTGGATTGGAAATAATGGATTCTCAAATATCGAATGCCGTCGATTATGATTCAATCTATATTTCTTGATCTAATAAAGATTTGTAAGTGACCTTGGAATGTAATTTTATGGGAATAATAACAATTCGCCGGAGATTTTGGCTGCATAGCTAATCTGTTGGCAGTAAATTCTTTCCTCAGTTCGTGCTATAATTTATGGTGAAAAGGCAGAAATTTCAAAACAATCTCCAAGGAGGTGGCCGTTTCTAGGCAAACAATAAGCTAATGACAAACAAAAAAATGAAATTGGATAGCGCTTGGTGTACCGAAGATATTCAAACGGAATATTTACAATATAGACTGTTTTCAACCACCAAAAAAAAATACTTCGATTTTGGTAAGAATTGATACAATGTCTCTCGAGAGTGAAAAGAAACTTTGGTTTAAAAAAATAACTTATTTTCAAAAAACTGTTTTATTTGAGTGAGCTTCTACAATTAGTCTTTATTAAAGTGCTTTTCTATAAATCAAAGTAGGGTACTATGAGCAACTTCTTTTTTGTTGATTTTGAGAAAATATTCGAGGATTTGTTTGATTTTAACTCCTTGAAAAATGAAATTGCAAAAACAACAAGAAACTCCAATTAATCGTCCATAAGTTATTCAAACCAATTGCACTTTTAATTTATCTATTGATTTTTTTTATTCTCACTAACGAAAAAATTTCCTAGCTGCAAGTTTTTTTAGTTATAATAAAATTAACTTGGACAATTAAGTCAGTTAAGACTTCATGTTTCTTTGATTGGTATCGATAATTCTTCCTTGGACAAAAACCTAAAAATTAGAAAAATTAACGATTACAGGCTGTTTTGCAATAATTTAATCGGGAGTCATGAATCAGGTTCAATAGCATTGTCACACGGACCATTATACTCTGCCCTGGAAAAGTAACAACAGTTTTTTGAATCATTCAAGTGGAATAGTTTTTTTTATTTTCACTAATATAAAACGGTTTTGATTGGGTAGTTTGCACTCTCAGAGAACTTTGTAAATCTAAGCCAAGATGACACCTGGTTGTATGTTCCGAAAACAAATTGTTAGTAGATTGAAGCAGCCAACCCAGGGATAATAATTTTCTAAACCAAATAGAATTAAAATTGATAGTTCTTTTTTTGTAGTCTACAATGTGAGTGTCAATCCGCCTCTCCGAGATTGACAATGATTTCACGTTGGCGAATTGACTAAAATGTTTGCGGTTTTTTGTAGGTTTTTGAGAGTGCTGCAATAAAATTACATTCATCCTCTGCTAAGGATTCCGAATCTTCTTTCCCATTTCCGCAATACACCTATAACTACAACATTTCGCGAAGTGGCCCTTTTGTTGCAGTTCTTACACGATACGTTCTTAGCCAGACAAGATAATGAGTCAAATTTTTGTGATTAGGAGTAAAGTCGTTTCCGCAGAAGTAATACGGTTTAATTTCTCTGGGTTCAATTTGGTTTTGTCTGTTGTTGAATCTTTCGCTTGAACTTTTGGCTCAATCAGTTCTGTTTTGAATGTTGTTCTTTCGCTGAAACAAAAAAGATGTTTCTTGTTTTTTAAAGAACTAGAATAGTTCTGGTAGGAGTTAAAATTCAGGTTTGAGGGTCCTGAGTGACCCATTTGTTTCTGGAGTGTGAAGGCAGTGACATATCCATTCTTTTGAAAAAAAAGCTTATTTTAGTGTTTTTAGGTGTATTTTCAGAACAAACACAAATATCACGATGTATGTCTTTGAGTCTCAAGTTAGCAATAGAAACATCGGAAACAACTTCTTTCTCTTTGTTGACTGCTCAGCTACATTGGTTGGCTTAATCCGATTGTCTCCAGAAAAATGTTTCCAAACTTTAACGATCTGATTTGGAAGTAATGTACAATTATTATCAAAAAAACTAATCTTATCCTTTTTGAATTATTTTTCGCAGTAATTGTAGAAATCTCGAAACCTGATCGTTGCGATATCTACGTGAGCGAGACTCTGTAAATAATTTTTTCTAATTTCTGTTTCTAGCGAAAATAAATCAGGATTTGACTAATTGGTCCGCTTCATGAAAGAAAACATTTTGTCCAATTTTTGGTCATTTTTTTTCATTGATTTCTTAGTTTTTCCAGTTTTCGCGAATGTCGGCTTGATCCCATGAGATTTAATTGGCTCCATCTGCTAGGTTTTCAACATCACTTTTTCTTTCTGGTCAAAAGTTATAGTGGATCGCTTAGTAGAGTATTGGCGTTGCAGTGGTCTCGTAGGCTTACGGCAAAATAAAAATGTCCTATCCACAATTCCCAGAAGAATAAAGGTTTCTTTTTGGTTTTGACCAGAACGCTGGTATCCCTTCAAAATCAGTTTGGTCCTCATCGACCAAAATTATGTGGCTGCGTCATGTGAAATCTCAACCAACAGACTCTCTGAAGCCGGTAAAGACAATTACGCAGAATTGTTATGAATTGAATAGGTAAAATAAGTTGTTCTGCAATCGTACATTAAAATCAAGAGAATGATATTCACAATCTCCACAAAAAGCTCACTCGGTCGACAGATACCGACCTTGAGTAACAATTTAACTAGAAGAAAACTCATAGACTAACACTTTAATCTTTAAACAAAGCACACAGTGTTAGCATTTAAGGGCCGTACCACAGCCAACCTGACTCACGCAAGTATCTCGCGGGCTGGATAACCACCGATATTAAATGTTGACATATACATTATAAATTTGTTATACGAAAATATTTTCATTCCACACATTCCGCACAGCTCAAAAATGGCTGCTTAGAAAAAATCACAACAAAATTAAATTTCGTTTCCGAAATTTTAAAAACATGCGCCTAACTGCGGTTGATCATGATCATGTTCATGTTATTGCATCTGTTAAATTTACTTACTTAAATGTCAAATAAATTATTGTAGATTTAAAAAATAAGAGGAACCATAATGCATACCTCAGTTTCAGCCTCTAACTCAGGCGCGCATCGCACACAGATACAGTGACCACAAGGCAGTTCCTTTGCAGAGTCACCAGTGAAACCTATGCCGCATTTTCGGCATTCGAGTGACGGCACAGTAGCGTGGAAAGGTGGACGGGAAGTTGCCATATGTGCCGTGGGTTCGGAAGGCTTGTAGATTTTGGCTAAAACTCGCAAAAGGAACCAGTTGATGGAATTGAACTAAAATCCTTTATTTGATATGTGTACAAAGTTTTATGATTGTTCTAAACAAATGGAAGATACGTTTTCTCCAACTTTATGAATAAGACAAAGTCAAAATGACAAAAAAACGAGTCCCACGTTAATCAAACTCTGCACACAACTCTTCATTACTCGCATTGTTCCGACCACTTTGACGAAAAGCTATAGAGTATTTTTGTTTATTTTTGCACAAAATCAAGTATCGCAAAAATAACTTCGAATGATTTCTTTTGAGCAGCCAACCTTTTTCCAGTCCTGCATCGAGCTGCAATTGAAAATTCAAAATTTATTCAAATTTCCAGAAAAAAAACCATTTTGAAAGCAATTGAACAATTATAAGCAAAACCAAAACTTGGAAAACCAATAAATTCTTCGTCTTCGGAAAAGGGTGGTCAGCCAAACAAGATAATGAGTGCCAAGTGAAAATAAGGTTTCACAGCTACCTCATAGGATTATGAATTTCGTGTCACAAAACTCAGCTTCAGTGTCAAAAAAACTGCCTATCTTTCTGACAAACGACTTAAACTATTACTTATTTTGAAATCGGTCATAAGAAAAGAAAAAGGCAATGAATAACAATAAATATTCGAGAGAAACAAACAAGAATTCTAACCTTCCTTCAAGGTAAAGACAAAAATCGATGTAAAATGAGAAGTCAACAGATCTGCACGTTTGTGTCTGTAAGTTTTGGTTATAGGCGGGACAGAAGCTAAATATAAAACAAGCAAATCGGGTCCAAAATGATGAACTAAAAAGACCTATCGGAATCTGGGGTAAAATAAATATCGAAACTGAATGTTTTGTTTTTTTTTCCTAAGCCAGACGAACTTTGCACATGCTTTCAGCGGTCAAAATTCTTAACAAAAATTGGAAAGGGTTCCTATTGTAATATTTTATTGTGGGTGAAGAAAGGTAAAGTTAAGTTTTTGGTTTAATGCTGGAATTAACAATCTGTTTTCAACAATTGTGATTCAAAAGAACAGGCACTTCAAAAATGGGACAATTTATAGAGGCAATTTATTTATTCGTTTTTATTTGATTCTTTCTTATAATAATGTTATGTATTAAGCTTACTCTTCGAAAGCAGTTTTCTGCACGTGAAAATTGTAACCAACATGTCATAATCAATGAAAAAAATTGTTATAACAATAATAGCTGAGCTCTTGGTTATTTTTGGTAGAGCTTTAAGCATAGTTGTTATTGCTATAACCGTGTTTTGGCAACTTCGGTTTTGAACAAATCTCTAATGAAATTAGTCAAGTATGACGCCCTTTCTCTTACACGTGATAAACATGAGTTGTTGCTCCGACATTCGTAACGAAAGTAACGGAATATTTGTGCTCCGTTTAGGTGTGGTTTTTTCTTCAGACAAATTTCGACTTTTTAACTGGCTAGTTTTGACGGAAATTTTAAGTCAATCAAAAAGCATTGTTGTTATGAGCCTAAATGGAAAAATATAGATTTCACGTGTGATCAGTTTTCGTAAAAGAAATTTAAATGTCCTAGAGGGTTAAATTTTGGGCAGGTTTTATGGGAGGTTAAAGTTGGTCATTTTTGGGGCACTCTGTGGAAAAGGGTATGGAATTAATTATTGGTTGCTGCATGTTTTCCTTTCTAAAATTTTGGGGTATAGGCTTGCTGACATTTAAATGACATTAAATAAACCTTATATGCAAACAACTGAACCAAATGCAACCAAAATATGTGGTATATTAGAAAGCGCCGGATATTTTATTGCTTAATTGTGAAGAAATAAGAAATAGTCAAAACTGGTCGCCGCAACCCAATTTGAACGGAATAAGAATGAAACAATACTTTAAGCCAAACTAAAGTAAAAGACATAGGAAAATAACGAAACATTGAAAACTTTTGAAAAAAGGAAAAATTTGTCGAAAATTTCAACGTTTCGATTTTCCGTATCTACATGAGGCTGAACAAACGTCTAAAATTTGTGAAAAAAGCTTTGACCTTATTGAAAAGTATGAAGAACTAAAAATTGAAGTTGCTAAAAAAATTTTGAAAGGCGAGAACACGGATGAAAGTCGGAAAAAATTTTCAAGGCTTCTATAAAACGTGTAGTACTTCTTTTTAACAATCTTTTGTCAACTTGAGATTATTTATTTTTAAAAGCTGTCGCTAAAACACGGGGAAAAGTGTTGTTAATGTGTTAGAAAATACACGAGAAAAAACAATGACTGTCGAAAAAAGCAGTTGAAAACTTTATTACGACTTTTAAGGAAAGCAGTTAATCTCTTCTCAATTTTGCTTCGTTTTTTTTTCTACTACCAGGACTTTTTTTAAAATAACCGCTAGCTGTATTCTTATTGTGAGATTAAAAAACAAACCCTATTATCAAATTTCATTCTCCATCTCTGGATTCCATTGTGATGAGAGCTGTTTCACTAAACAATGATCTATCCCCAGTATGTTGTAATTGCTATTTTGTAGTTTCATTTCGATACGATGAAGGTCAATTACGTTGTGTTAATTTCCGATGGAAAAGAGAAAAACAACAAACTGACAAGTTTTTTGGAAACGCACTTGAGATAATTCAAAGATTCAAGCTGGACCGACTAACAAAGACAAGTTTAAGTTGCGATCGTAAAATTTGTTAGAATTTTTCTCCTAATGAAGTTGGAAATTGTACTTTGAGAAATCAAACTTTTGAGCCCTGCTGCAAACAGACTGGCAATTTATTTTAATGACAAAATTTTGCGCAGTTTTAAATATTGGCATAAAAAAACATTATGAACTAACAAACTTGAATTTAAAAAAGTGTTTACTGACTTTTTATCTGATTATAAATTTGCTTCGCTTCTCTCGTTTTAATATAAATTTGACAAAATAATAAGATTCTTCCAATGAAAATTTTTGAAAGTTTGTGATTTTTAGAGGTTTGTTAACCATCATTCAAATATACACTACTTGTCATTTAAACTTTGCTCGCTTAGCGTCTTCAACTCTACCACCAGCATGTCATCTTCTAACATTCTTCAATTGATTTCGTTCAACTGCACGGTCAACAAGGATTCTCCTCAAAAAACCGTAAAATTTTTCTGACAATTCGACTATTGTAATCATTATCTCTATGAGCAAAATTTCATCAAACAACTTGTTTTCCCTACTGTTGCCAATGGGCCTTGTTGTTTGCTGCATTCAAAGACAAAGTTTCGTAAGAATTTGAAAACTTATCTTTTCTGTTACACTTTTAGTGTTTTTTTGTGGTCATTGACCTCAGGTAAACTGATCTTGAAATAGATGCTGCAAATGCCGCATTTTCAAATTGAAATTTTTGTACGTACATTTATACATAAATACATACATGCATACAAGCATACATACAAGCTTACATACATGTATACATCGATAAATACGTAGATGTATACAAATATAAAAAAATTCATAAATTCAAACAAACATAAAAACACACATATATGAGAAAAATGCAATCAAACCACCATACATTCACAAATATGTTCGTACATACGAACAGAAAGATAAGTTTCAAATCCTCGCTTACATAAGTAGTATATGTTGGATGAATTCGAAGGGGGGATGAAAACCCCCATGTATTAACATAGGCAATAGAGTATCCGGTCTTCACCCTATGTAATAACATAGGCTATAATTTTCCCAATGTATTAAGATAGGGAATAGATTTCCCAATGTATTAAGATAGTAGGTTTCAGATGGTAAGATGGTAAACTTCAGAAAAATTTTTGGCGCCCGATCTTACCATGTTTTAAGTTAGTGTTTAGATTTTCCATGTATTAGGATAATGTATAGATAACCCTATGTATAAGGATTGGAAACTAATTTTATTAATACAGGGAATAGGTTTCCCAATGTATTAACATAGGGAATGGTAAGGTTTTAGTGTGATGGTAAGAAAATGGTAAGAAAAACGGAATTTTTTGGATTTTGTGTGGAAATGTCTAGTTTTTTCGCAAAATTCTCGGCATGCGTTATGTAATTTTTGAGTATTACTTGTAGATGTGTAATGAAGAGTCTATGTTTATTGGTTCATGGTAAGTCCATAGTAAGATGTGCAAAAATTTGAAAATGCTTACAAAAAAATTGTTATTTTTTCAAAAAACATCAATACACGATAACATTTGATATGATTTGACTTAATAACTATTTTATTAGATGATCTTTTTTTTGAAACTTTACTCAATCTAGCTTAAATTATGCTGAAACCTACTGAAACCTTAAAAATTCAAGTTTTTGGAAAAAATTGCAAAAATTTCAAAACTTTTGGAAAAACTTGCAAAAATTTCAAGTTTTTGGAAAAAATTGCAGACAACTCAAGGTTTTGGCAAGTTTTTTGTTGCTTCTGATCTAATTTTAAAAAAAATATGGATATGTTCAGAGTTAAAAAAATTTAAGCTCAAATTGTATATCAATTGGCATCATGTTGAGACACTGATACAAAATTTGAGTGGAAACATGAACTTTTCCACAATTTTCTCTCAAAATAAACAAATACGATAAAATTTACCTACTTTTAGCTGAAAAGTGGTTTATATAATGCTCCGATCGTAATTTTCGAGAAAGTAAAAATTCATCAAATCTATCCAAAATTTTTCATTTTTAACCTTTCAAATGTGTAATTAACTGGTTTTAGTTCAATTCAAGGAAAATTCACCTTGGAATCTCAGTGCAATTAAACAATAAGAGCAATATTTATTGAAATTTCTAGATCAAATTCCATGATCCAGCTCCTCCTCAGTTTTTTCTCAAAGAAACACCCAAATTTGTACGAAAATTACAACTTCTGAGATTTTTTTAACTTTATTTTTAAAAATAAGTTCCAGATCATTGATAAAATGAACATTTTACTGCTAAAATTGACTAAAAATGGGGTATATATTTTTTAACCGTATATTAGATTGTATGATAGTCAACAAAATCTTCTTCAAAAGTGATGATTAACTCCCTGTTGCCTCTACAATATTATTTTCCGTAGAAACTTTCTATGTCTTAAGCTTATTCTTGCTTTCTGCTTTTGCATGTTTTCGCTCTTGAACTCACTTTGCAAGAAATTTTAGTCAGAACAGGAATTTAGGAGAAAATAATATCAATTGAACGAACACTTTGTTGGCAGTGATTAAATTAGAACTGATAACGTCTAATTATTACCATCTAATTTTTACATGCTCTCCTTCAGGTTCCCTTGTTTAGTTTCTACAGCAAACTATGTCAGCAAAAACCCAACTTTTGAAATCATTAATTATCACTTTTCAAAATACTTTGTAATTCGCTTTTTGTTCTTGATTTTTGTGGGAAATTTTTTCAAAAATGTCGACGTGAAAAAGAATCGCTGCTATTTTAAGCATTCGAAAGCACATGTACAATTTGAGAATTTTAGGTTGTATGTTTATGTGTATTTTTTAGAATAAATTAAGAGCAGTTCTATTGTTAATATCTGCAAAACCTTTTTTGAAGTAGAAATACACAAGCGAATTAGTTCCACATTTCTGCAACATTTATAACATCTAAAGGATCTGTTCTCGAAAACACCAATTTAGGAAAGAAAATCATGGTGCAGACTGTAACAATTGAAAAATTTTGCTAACTTTATTAAGCAAAAACTCTATAATTCAACGCAATTTTCTAACTGAAAAAAAAAATTGAAGCTAAACTGAACTAAATTTTTACTGTGGGTCTAGTTGAATTTTTTTTGTTAAAATTCATAGAATTAGGAGATCATACATCTGGTTCTGCTAAAGTCTTAGTTTGTTTAGAAATACCTAGAATATTTTCTCTAAAAAATTTTCTACATCAAATTTTTTATCCAAAAGAATGAAATGTAGATCTTGAAAGCAAGCTTTTGATTTATGCTTGAAGTATCATCTTCCAAAAGATGTTGGAGTTAGGTTTACTTCACAACAAGTTATTTTCAAAAAATCTGAATTTTCATATAAGTTAACCTAGTATATCAAATGATAAAAAATTTTCCAAACAATACACTTTTATGTTGGATTTTGTCTGAAGATTTAATATATAAGCTAACTTTTAATTTAAAAAATCTCTAAACTCCTAATGAATTAAATTGAGTTTCTATATCAATTTCATTTTTTCTCAGTTTCTGCTTCATCTACTATCT